TGCCCCCCCCCCCCCCCCCCCCCCCCCCACACACACACACACACCCCTTAATCGTATAACAATTCCTCTTATTCTTCACTAAGTTTTACACTCCTGTCTGGGTTTTTTTCCTTACTCAAAACAACGTTTATCATGGTGTGGTAGACCGCCTAATTATACTGCGTTAAAAAAATTCGTGGCGCAACGTATCTTCAACTATTTTGATAGGAGCCCACACACGCATAAAAAATTTGACGACTATGTCACACGGGTTTGACCCGTCAAAATTTTGAGTCAAATCTTTTTTTTTTTTACATCAAAACGCCCTAGACACAATCAAATTTGATTCAAAATTTGGATGCAAAATTTGACGCTTTTTTAAAACATGTATGGACCCCTGAACGAAACACGATTCAAGAGACAGGGTGAGTAATTTTCGAGACTCATGTTGAGCCCGCGGAGCCGTCGAGACAGCCGTGGGATGAATCTATAAGCTTACATTGAAATATGGGGGCAGGGTGGTGTCGCTGTCTCAAAATGAGCACATTGAAGGCTAAGTTACTGTAGCCTAAGTCGTTTATTTGATTAAGTGATCATGTTTATGCATTCAAAGAGCGGCTTTTAATGCACGGCCCAAAGAGAAATCCTTTTTGATTACTGAATCAATTTTTTTTAAATATAATTTTTTGGGGGGGTCGCTGACCTGCAGAAATGCCATTCAAAGTTTCGTGGGCATAAGTAAATTCTTAAATGAGCAAGAATTTTTTTTAACATGGTCAGACGAAAGTGAACAAGCTACAAAATAACAAAACATAAGTTTTGGAGAAAAAAAAAAACGTGTGGAACCTTTCATTACAACCACAGAGGAAACTTATGTGAAGGTTAGAACAAAATTTAAGACCTCATGTACTAATGGGTTAATTTGTGTACGGTTCGGTTTGTAAAAATTGGTGGTTTATGGTAAATGGTTCTCATCAGATCAAATGGAAAAGTCATACTCTTGGTCAGTACTTGAGTGGGAACGTGCCTATTTGTGTTGAGACAGACTATCCAAAAACTGAAATCAAAAGCAGGTTAGTTGGTTTGTTGATTGGTTTTTTGATTAGTTAAACTGCCGTTGTCTTTGGATATTCGTTAATCTCTTTTATTGTTTTAGGTGCATTTTCTTGTATGTGTGTGTGTGTGTGTGTGTGTGTGTGTGTGCGTGCGTGTGTATGTGTGTGCATGTGTACGTACGTGTGTGTGTGTGTGTGTGTGTGTGTGTATTCGTAAGGGGGGGGGGCGGTCTCCACAACCCAAGAAGAACACTTAATAAGAATCAGTATGAACTTAGGAATAAAGGAATGACAGAAAACTAAATTATTATGAAGATGGTGCGACACTGTCGAAGTTTCAATGAATCTCAAATTCGAACAATATCTCACTTTGAATGTGAATTTAGGAAATAGGCTATACATAGTGCGAATACAATGACACATTGTTTATATCTTTAACGGAGTCCTACCAAAGGATAATATACTTTGGCAGTTTGGCTGTGACTAAGACTATTTTGTTGTTGTTGTTGTTGTTTGTTTTTGTTTTTTGCTATGACGTGGTCACCAGTTACATGGCATACAAGTAGCTCTATCTGTTACATACCTTCGGCGTGACCCTTCAAAGACGAAAACAATTCGTCGTAGCAGCTGATATTTCCTCCTGCCCACGGGAAAAGGAATAACAGTCTTTTCCCGCTAGATCCATTGCGTTTGAAGGTACGAAACAGTGGCACTTTGCTGGACATCTTTTCTGCATTCAATCAAGCAAAAACAAGAGCAACAGTAGTATGGGTAATCTAGTGGGTAATTCTTCTTCTTTTTCTTCTTCTTCTTCTTCTTCTTCTTCTTCTTCTTCTTCTTCTTCTTCTTCTT